AGCTGGGCACAAGCAGCTTGACTCGAAATTCAGGTCTCGCAACCGTTGAGACTTCCGGCACGGACTCAAGGAGAAAGGAAGGGGAAAGAGAGAAAACAAAATTAGCGCCGTCCGGCTGAGTCCCGTCTTTTGCATTGGTGACCGCGTGCCTTGGGGAAGGCCAACACGAGCGTCTTGAGCTGCGGTCTTGTCAATGTGAGCATGTTGGAGTTTGGCGATGGGTTTTCAAAGACCCCATTGGTTTGGATGCACACCCTGATGTGCTTGGCGCTGCTGTGCCATTTTGCAGCTCCATGGGGTCTGTTGTTCAAACTTGGATCTTGAAATTTCGAAATTGCTCAGACCCAAGAAAACGGCTGACGAGGAGGTCGTAACATATAGAAGACCGTTACACTAGTTAGCACTTCCTACCCGCCACCACCCCAAGACACCGCCTAGGGTTCGTAGCAGCTAGGCAAAGGCTTTAGCTCAGAACACAGCTCGCGCAGACCCTCACTCTTTTTAGCGGTGTGGCAAAGGTTCCCTGTTGCCCTGAGAAAGTCTCTAGCCTGGAACCGCGTCCAAAGCTAGCCAATCTCCAGGGTGGGATGGGTGGGCACTTCAAATTTTCCCCTCCTCGGGGGCTCTTTAGCACAATGGCCACGGACATAGCATGTTCGTTTCCGGCCATGTGAACCCCAGTAACTAGTACTTCGAACTAGCGGAAACACCTGCGATCTTTCCTAGCAAACACCTTCGATGTTTAACTAGCCGAAACACCTTCAAGTATAGCACTAGCGTACACGGTCGTACCTCGAAAGGTTTCCTCTTGCCCTGAGAAAGTCTCTAGCCTGGAACCGCGTCCAAGGCTAGCCAATCTCCTAGGGAAGCCGAAGGGTCACCAGGGACCCCTTACCTTACGAGATCGCTTCGCGAACCTCATAGCTGGTGCCTTCTTGGTGACCTTGGCCATGCCCAGCTCTTCAAAGTAGCTGGTCGCATGAGCCAGGAGTCGACCTAGCACACGCCACTCTAGCGCTTCCCCCTTCTGGTTTAAGTCCCGTCGGATCCACTGTAGCTGGAGCTCACAGTTCTTGGCAGATATAGCTCCTCGGCTAGCTCTATGAGGATTAGCGTGGACGGGAACTTGGTGGTCATCGCTTTCCTTAGCAGGGCTTCGTTCGACTGGTTGTCGGCGTAGCCACGGATCTTAGCGCCCCCTCCGGCACCCAGAGCTGGACACCAACCAGAGCAGCTGCGGGCACCGAAGGCCCAAGGAGCCCAGCTTTCGGACACCTCTAGCGAGACCAGGGGTCTTGGCAGCTGTGCACTAGCTCAAGGAAGCCACCGATCCCCACTCCTTCCAGAGCTGCCGCAGCTGTGCCTTTAATTCTGGGTCACTAGCGAAGGCGCAGCCCTGCTCGCCTCCAGCAGCCATCTTGAAGGCCTCCTTCTCTAGCTGCTTTTGCTGGGGCAGGTCCCCGCCATCGTGGAACGGCTTGCCCCTTCCGCTGGCGGCAGAAACGGGGGAGGCCCGCCCGGCGACCCCCTCTCCAACGGCGTCTTGAGCGGGGAGCAAGCATGACGAAAGCAGCGTAGCGGAAAGCCGCTGGCACATCTTAGCTGCTCAGAACCGGTGGTCTTGAAAGCTCCCTTAGCCTGCCTCTGAAACATGTAGCGGAGACCCTGTGCAGAGGGTAGCGGACCAGTGTAGAAACCTTTTTGGTCGTAGCACGGCAGGTCTTCATTGACAAAGTCGGGCATCTCTGCTAGCTGGGTACGCAGTAGCAGCCGAGTGGGCTTAGCTCAAAGAACTCCGAAGCTAGCCTGATGAAAAGGTACAGTCCGTAGCCCGTTTATATTCCGACAGCCCCGGTATGCAAAGCATGTCACAACTGTGGAGATCTCTCCACAAACATTAGGCAAGACCCAGTGATGAAGACGATGTCGAATGGAAGGACGACCTCCTCGGTGCCCCGCACAAACATCTTGCGGTCAGCGCACACCATTGTCAGTGAGTATCGCCAGCTCACCGGCTGTTCTGTTCTTTGAGCCGATCTGTTGTCCAAGACTGGACACCCAGGAAATCCCCCGGGAAGGACAAAGTCCACCCTGAAACGATGCTGGATCGATGATATCCCAGCCATCGTAGAGCTGTCATTTTCAACTGGGGTGTTCACGGCGGCCGGAAAGCGCCGTCTTCAGATCGAAGGGACCTGCGTTGGGAACCAAATCTCTCCCATTCTTTCAAGTCTGCCGGTACTAATGGAAGAAAGACAATTTCTTTTGTGTCTGCCCGCTGCATTGTCTTCGTCTTTCCCGTTTCTATATGTGTACAACCGGCTTTTACTCGGGCCAAAGGCCACATTGAAATCTGAACGGTTGAAAGCCTTCTGTGATCCCAACTTTTACGAAGCGATCATGCTTGAAACAATTTCAGATCATCAGTGGCTAGGATTTACAATTGATGCTGCCGCCCGGACAGCAACATTCAATTCTTCTGGCAGATTCGCTCGCCAGCAAGTGCAAGCTCCTGGAAATTAGCAGTGCCCGGCTATTTTTCTCGTGCATCATTGATTCGCCAGTATACCTGGCCCCCTGAAGCAATCCCAGGACAGCTTCGACAGCTCAAGCAACTTTAGGTACAGGCAGGATTTCCTGTGTCTGCTTTGCAATGAAGCTAATGAGATTCTGCTTGCTTTGCACACCGTATTACAGATTGGTTGCGTGCAAACTTACAACCAAGTTCTGTTCTATCGCACACTGGCGACCTTGTATATTCTGTCGCACTCTTTCGAGCTGACCAGCCCTCAAGCTTGTGTGTTGGTTGTAGTGTTTTGAACTTTGCTGTTGAGCCATGGCCCAGCAGTATCATTTCCACTTTTATGGCGGCGGGCCACAGGGATCCCTACCAGATGCAGCTCTTTCATCGCCAGTGACGGTCAAATCGACTCCCGGCGACAACCCGTCTACCAGATCTGGGTCGGTGCACCCTCCTCCTCGCGCACACTTGCCGATCCAAAATCGGTCTCCAAGCAGACCAGCTCCGACAGCTTCTGAGCATGCTAGTCATGCCGGTCGTGACAGACGGCCCTCGGAACATGAACGCAGGAGCCGGTCTAGGCGCCGACGACGTCGACATCATCCACGTCGACATGATGCAGTACCCGAACAGGCTGTACGGCCTACATCTGCACCCCGAGCCCAGGCCTGTACATACTTCTTCTCCACCTGCTGGACCGCCGTAAGGGTCCGGGAGCCAAGGGCAATTACCTCGGAGACCTCGTCCGAGCATTTGCCCTATACAGCCAAAGGCCAATTTTGGATTGGGCACGTCCTCCGCCTCTAAAGTCACAGACTGAGGACCCACTGCAGCGAGCTGCTGAAATGTTTCGAGACCCCGCTCCAGGGTCCAGCAGCAAAGAGCCCACGGCTTTTACTGGTGCTGTGCGTGGTTGCCGATCTCCAGAAGACCACGGCACCCAAGACACCGCCCAAGAATCCGGGCCCCAAAGGACCCCCCAAGGCTGCCTCTGGTTTGCCTGTGATTTCACTAGATGATGAACAAATGTTTCAAGCAACACATCGCAGCAGCTATGAACAGCTGCGAGATCAGAGTACACAGCGAGCCAAAGGCTGCAATGCTGTGGATTTTTATGAAGAAGGCTTGACTCCCCTTCTTGCATACATGTTCTTTGTGTTGCATTATCATGAAATTTATTTATAACAACTGAGAAGTTGCATCAGTGGCCCATTATCCCACACAACAAAATGCGCCACTTTACTGATAGCATTGCTAAGAGGAAATGTCAGAGAGTCTCATTTCACGGCCTCTTCCAACGAAGCTCCGTGAAATTGAGACAGGTAGACGGTAGACGCACCTGCAGTGGTCGGCATGGGCGCATTATAGCGCAACTTGTGACCACAAAGTGTCATGCGCTTGAGCCAGAAAGAGTGCATGTACTTTTCAGTCTTTTGCTGTGCTTGCATGTGTGAAGAGTCCAGTTGCCGTGTACGGCAGAACAACAAGCAGAACAGAACTGATCAGCCTTGAGGCCAGACAGGTACCGGAACCCCTGAAAGCTTCATGCTTTCGTGATACATCAAGCAGTGCTTGACAACCAATTGATGAGTGGCTGCGCGATGGATGCCTAAGTGTGTCGGTGTCTGTGTCTCTGTCTCCGTCTTCGTCTCTGTTCGCTTGCTTGCCGGACGTAGAAGGAGGGAAAACCCCAGTTCCGTGTCCGGTCGGCGTGAGAAAACGTTGATTCGCCGGAGCATGCTGGCTTTGCCGATGGACCCTGTCAGAACACTGTTGCAGTTTCTGTCTGTCTCTGTGTTTTGTGTCTGTTTTGCCCTTTGTAAACGCAGATTGTGGCTCTTGCCCATGAAAGTCTCTCTGGCTGGTTCTCGATCCTCCAATGCCTGTCGTCCTCAGGAGCAGGCGACCAGTGGCGCATCGGTCCTGAACACTGGAATCGACAACACTCCACCTCATCCGTATGCATTTTGCTCCTGTCAGTGGCTGGCGAAGGCTCGCGACGTCCTCTAACAAGCTCTCACCGACACGTATAGGCGGATTCCGTGGGTTCCACATGTAGCGGTCGCCTCCCCCAGCATCTCCGCCGGGCTCCCGCATCGGGCCCATGGCGCAATTGCTAGAGACACAGGCTGGAACAGCTATAGATAGGACAAGTCCACAGGCAGAAAGAAAGTCTTGCGAGTATTGCTCCGCATGCCCCAACTTCACTTTCATAGAACATGTCTCAGTGCAGTTTCACGTGCTGCATTCTTGTGTATCTCCATCAAACGGATATACATGAACACATGCATGATTCCAAGGCTTACACACAAGAACGGATATGTACATTGAATGTTACACATGCGCACACACACACACACACATGTCCAGGCAAAACTACTTGCAAACACAACTGCAAGCATATTTTCAGATGCATGTACTACATGGATCTTTGCGCACAGACTCGGACGTCACAAAGAGCCAACCCCCGGTGTTCGGCCTGAGGAGCACGAGCAGCTCCAAGTCATTCAGCGCGTCCAGTTGCGGGTGCAGGGAGCACGGAGAGCGTTGCAGGGCGGACGCTGGGAAAGTGGCGTTCAGCTCGGGCTGCCCGCCAGGCTGGGGCGGCAGGGGCTGCAGGGGCTGCTGGGGCTGCTGGGGCTGCTGGGCAGCCGAGTAAGCGGCCTCGACTTGCGTGTAGCCATTTCTAGACGCCTCCTCTGGCTGCGAGACCTTCCGCACCACGTTCAGGACGGAGCCCTGACTGTCGTTGGCGTGCTGGCTTACCTACAAATGCGCCAGCCGAGAAGTCGCCCTGCCAAGCCTTCTGGATGCCGTGGTGCCTGCGACAGCCACGCAGAGACCGCAGACGTTCACGCTGTCACGCAGACAGACTGCTGCAAACTGCTGGAAAGATGCCGCTCTAGGGCCAGGACTCCAAGGTGAGAAAAGCTCCGTCCAGGAGCCGCTCCAAGCCCAAAGCAGCGGCCAGGGCTGCCAACACGGTGTCAAGACAGATGGGCAGAGAGAAAGAGAGAGAGAGAGAGATGCGGCAAAATCCCATAACGCTTGTGCATATATATATATATATAATACAATATAAAATATTATATATATATGTATATGACACACGATATGTACAGTACATGATATAAAAAGAAAAAACTATATATATATATATATACACATGTATAGTTACCCCTATTGAGCCACACTTAGTTCACTTCTGATGTGTAAAGCTGTTCTGTTTGTTCGGCGTATCAGCGGGTGTTTGTGGGCATTACAACATGGTGCTGGCTCACATTCGCAACTTCAAGCATAGCACGATCTTCTGCTAAAGACAGTCTATGTTGCTCTGCCACAGCCGAAACCATTATGTACTGGGAAAATACGGGAGAATTCGAGAAACAATCAAGCAAGTCTAAGGCGACCATGTGTGCATGAATGCACGCGTTTTGCTTTTAAATGCTTGTATTATAAAAACCCCCCTGGTGATCTTCAGGTCTTTCTTGATCCTTGCAATTGCATAGTTGGACCTCGATGTTCTCAGAAGGTTGTGATTTCTGCAGCCTGCACTGTCACACGTACCGTCCAGTAGTGGTCACCAGTCTTGTGTGCATGCGTGTGTGTGTGTGTGATGTGTTTGTTCGTGCCAAGAACAGCATCAATGCTCCACTACGAGTATCTGCCGCCTTAACGCGCTCGAATCTTCATCCGGCGTGTGTAGTTATAGTTTCTTCTGTATTGTGCTCGTATTGCGTGATCGTCGTGTTTTACAGCAGAAACAAATGTGGTTACAGTCTTATCCACCATGTGCCTGCAATACATGCTGTCGGAGTAGACACAAGTCAATGAAAACCCATCATCTACAAAAATGAAACCTCCAATGCTACATATACATATACACGTATACTATATAGAAGCAAGCATCATCATATGAGCGATCATATCTGCATGTTAAACCGTATGTGGCACGGCTTATGCAGGCTTTCAACCAACAACAAACAAGATGTAGTGAAGCCCGATGTATTTGTCTATGTATCTGTTTATCTGCCGTTGGGAAATACCGACTACTCCGAACCAAGTAATCAGTAACTTTGTATTTTTCGAATTAGTTTCCTTGAACTTTGCTGGGTTGTGCTGAAGGCTGTGCATTTTACTGGTCTTGGGGCTAAGGGCCTTAAAGGGAGCAAAGATTGGAAAAAAGGACAGTGAGAAACCGCATGTTGCCCAGAGACTACCCCAAATTAAGCATCTAGGAAAAGTGCGGGGCCATAATTTGGGGGAAATTCGCATCTCCGGCTTTTCCCATTTTTGAGAAAGTCCAGACCGGCAATGCCTGGCGATGTTTGAAGTTGCCCAAATGCTGCCAGGCTCAAATTCCGAAAATGGTGCAAGGCCTGAAATCAGAACGCACTGGCAGGGATCTAGTATTCCGAAAATTTCCAAAATCCTGGCATGTATGGGGGGCGCGGGGCCATAGTTGCTGAGACTTCGGGCATCTTCGGGCGTTCCAGAATCTGTAAACCTGCATACGCAGATCTTTTTTTTTTTTGGGGGGGGGGGAGCATATCTATCCATCCATTCATCCATCAATCCATCTATGCGCACATGATGAGCGTCCCCTCTCGGGCACGGTCGGAAGTCGGAGGGTAGTCACCGGGTAGTCGGCGGTCGGCGCCTCCGCCTCCGCCGCTGCGCCGGGCGCGCCAGGCAGGCGTCACGCATTCCTCCAGCCTCCACGCGAGCCCGAGCTCGGCAAGAAAACGATACGACGATAGTCTACAGCAGTCTCTCCGAGGACTCAAGACGAGGACTATAGGACTCTTGGGACCTGCAGTGAGTCTTAAAAAAAGGGAGTCTCTCTAAGGGGGCGGCTGGGTGCCCGCGTAGACCAAGCGCTGCTCCGCCTCGGGGATGCCCAAGGCCGCCTCGAGAGCGGAGACCGGAGGTCCCTGGCCCTCCGTCTGTTCTAGGCCCTCTAGGCCCTACGCTCTCCTCATATATATATATATATCTCACTTCGAAGCCTACAGACTCATTACAGTAACCTAACTTCACTTCTCATCTCTCCTCGACGGCGCGTCGGAGGCTTGGGAGCGTCGTGGAAGGCTCCAGGTCCAAGTCCGCCGCCTCCTTGAACGAAATTCCAGCTGACCAAAGGTGAGAGCGCGCGCTTCTGCGGCCCCCCCTCCCTTTTCCCCCCGCCCTGGCAAAAAAAAACGCGCCGCGCGCTGAGGACACGGCACCGGTCAGGGAACGTACCGTGATGCGCATTCTCCCATCGCGATATCGCAGTCTAGGATGGACAGGGACAAGTCCTACCAGAGAAAGCGAGAGAGAGAGAGAGAGAGAGAGAGACAGAGAGCCGCTACCTACCTGACGTATCTACCCATCTTTCTATCTATCTGTCTATCTATCTACATACACACCTATAATCTATAAAGATATATAATACATCCTCTATGTGTATTTATATATATATATATGTATATATATATATATATGTGTGTACTGTGTAGAGTTACCAGAGGTGCCACTCCGTGGAAAGGAGAGCTTTCTCTTCCTGGATGTGATGTCGCTCGACTGGAGCCCGAGTGCAGGAGCTGCGGCGAAGCTGCGGCGGCCAAGCGACAGCCACACCGTCAAAAAGACACAGAGACCCACACAAAGACCCACACACTGTGTGACAGACACGAAAGGACCGGCGGCGAGGGCTCACGGTGTGCTCAACCCGTTGACCCGGCCACGGGGGACGTCCTCGCGACAGTCCCCGAGAGCCTGCAGGTCAGCTTGAGGCGTGAGGGCTTTTCACAAGTTGTTACAGAAGCTCCGACAAGTCTTATGATGTGCTCCGATTCCCGTCTCGACTCCCGTCTCTGGTCCTCTTCCAAGTCCAGAAGCTGGATGGAATTCTCCATCGCGGAGCTCACTCTCCTCGGAAAGTCCGAACCCTCGCTGGCCTGAGTGCAGGTCGGGACCAGGCCCCCATGCCATCCCCATCAGATAAAGTAAGGCCCCCCTTCCTCCATGATGACAGTAGCGGTCGCGAGGCCGCGGGGCTACCAAAACGCCATGCCGGGGACCCGCGATCGCCCTGCTTAGCTGCGAGGTGTGATCTGCTCTCTGCCTCTCGCTCCTCTGTCAGGTGCACTGGCCTAAGCCACTCCGTCTGCTCCTAAACTTCACCGTCCCTCGGGGGGACTCTAGATAGAACCCAAACCTGATGCAGTGATATCATCCCTGCCACGAGCGGTAAAAGCACAGCCATGATGTCCACGGGACGAGTCTAGGTCCAGGTCTCTGTGTCCATGCGGTCCATGCAGAGTCCATGCACCATGATGCTTCCGGTTGCTGCTCCCTCGAGCAGTCTGGCAGCGGAGCAGGGTTCAGTCGATGGCACACCGGAAGTTCATCATCTGTATTCTGTGTTCTAGCACTTTTTGCCGCAAGTCTCAGCGCCGCCCCAAACTGGGAACTGCCTGGCAGGCGCCCGCGGTGATGGAGCGCGCGCATGACTGCAGGGAGGTCTCGGAACATCTTTTGTATTGTGAGAGCCCAACGAAGACACTCCGGCAGGCACCGCAGATGACCTGAATCTGTGTGTGCGTGGGGGCAACACAGAGAAAGAGAGAGAATCAGCAAGCGAGCGAGAGACAGAGAGAGAGAGAGGGCAACTCGCAGATCTATATGTCGTGGAGAGCGTGCTGAAGCGGCTGAGGCTGCTGCTCGATGTCTCTCCGAGGCGCGAGCGGCGTTCACCACGCCACAGAAGGGGCACCTTCAGTTTGTGGCCCTGGGCCCTCTGAAGGAGTCAAAGAAGGCTTTGAGGCTGCCCCGCCCACAGATGTCGAGCTGTCACAGAGAGAGGACGTGCAGAGACAGGGGAGACATGGAGCCATCACGAAGAGGTTTGGCTTGGCGATTCGGGGCGAGTCTCACACGCACTCCGTGGCTGGAGCGATGTAGTTAAGACGACATGCAAGGGCGCCACTCCTTAGCCCCTGCTCAACGCATCGCTCAGAAGACCTTGTCCGACCTCATCGTGCAAACACACGCTTGAAGTCGCCCTCCACGAGAACCGTCTTTCCCCAACTTCCCCTTGACAGAACAAAATGCTGGGCAGACCGAAATGCTTCGCATGGCCACGAAGCTTCCCGAACTGTACTGTAGAAGTGGGCGACTCGGCGTGGAATGATGAGAAAGGTATCGCCATCTTCTGCACAGGCCACACGCTGAAAGATGCTGACAGTGTCACTGGGCTCCACTTGTCTTTGCTGCTGTCGTGGGTTGAGCAGTCGCAGTCGGTTGTCCTCTGCTCGGAATCTGCCGAGACGTCGCTGGGCTTAAAATACAGCGAGAGGCTTGCAAAAGGCCAGGTACCAGCACTGCGTCGGGGCGACGTTCTTGAGAATGTGCAAAGGGCACGCCACTTGATCCGGTCATACAAGTAAGTCAGTAGATTCAGTCATGCGATGTGCCTCGGCCAGCTTGAAATCTAGCTTGTAATGCCCTTTCCTGGGGCACTGGGGCCCGTGCTGGATCCGGAGCTGGCGAGTGGCCTGAGTGACGTGCAGAGGGCCGCGTGCTGAGCGCTTGGGGAGCTGAGGAATCGGCTCCAAGTCGGCCCTCCTCCCGGGCGGCCTGGCAGCCAGCGCCTATACCCCGGCTCCTCTCCCGTCCCTCCCTGTCCTCGAGGAGCGATGCCAGCAGCACTTGAGCGCCACCCGCCGGGCCGCCAGGCCTCGATGCATGTGGAACTCTGCAGACCGGCTCTCCCTCTCCTGCCTCGCTCGACGCGCGCGCGAGCGCGCGCGAGCCCGCCTCCTGGGCTCCGCCGCCCCGTCCCGGCCTAGGCCCAAGAAGCTGGTTGTTGGAGCTTGTTGTGGGCGGGTACTGTATACAGATTTCCCTTTGCAGCCAAGTGGCTCGGAGATTGCCTTCGGTCGGGCGTGGCATGTGGCTGACGTGGCACCAAATTCCGCTCACTGCACTCTCATGCTCTCGGAAGTGCCCGGCGTCAGTGGCTGGCGCTGCTTCTCCGCCCGCACCTGCGGCCGGCGCGCAGCACGGCACCACGTTGCCGCGTCGGGCCCAGCCCCAGAACGAAGTTCGCGCGCCCGGCCCCCTTTGGCCTTGGCTCGCGCCTCGTCCTCCTCGCGATCCGCAAGCGCTCTGCAAAGCCCAAGCGGTCCTGACCTGCACGGTGCCTGCACGGTCTTGAAGTCACTGGCTCGTGCGAGACGCAGTGCCTGCATGCCACGCTTCTGTCTCCAACTCGCAATGCGAGCTTGAGTCTTGAGGCGAGTCTCAGAAAAAAGCTTAAGCATGAGACATAGAACACGGCTACCCTGGCTACCGACAGGACACTGCTTGAGCCCATCCTTCACGACACAAGAATGAGCAACATGCGCCATCTGAAAATCAGAAAGCGGCACCCTGACCTCGGCGTGATGTCCGAGCTCGCTCTCAGCCATATAACGGCTTCAAAAGGGGTACTACGTGCGACCACGCGCCAGTACGCGAGAGACTCTGTGCTCGTGGAAAGGTTGTCACCGCCATGTCGGAAGCCCCCCTTACTCGCTCTCCGCTCTCGATCTCGAGGGCCTCCTCCACGCTGACGGTCTCTGCTTTCGGCGTGTCTGCAGGCCTGCGCGCGGCACGACAGTGAGCACAAAAGGTCCGCAGCCCGCGCTGTGCCCTTTGGGCGCCTTCCACCACTCGCTGCGGCGGACGGGCCCGCGGCGGCCGCTGGAGGGCCGCCCGGGCCGAGCGGCAGCGCGGCTCGCAGGCGCTCGGCCAGGCCGCTGCTGCCTCGGACCGTCGGAGAGGCGCAGTGGCTATTACGAGCTCCTCTCTCTCTGTCTCTCTCCAGCATGCGGAGATCTCGGGGACCGAGCCCACGAAATCCTGACGGCACACGCCAAAACGTTCGTAGCTCTGCTTCAACCTGCGGGCTCCTCCAAGGGCACGCCGGATGCCCAGCGCTCCTCGTCCCAGACCTGGGGAGTTCGCTTTCATGGAGATCAGAGAGAGGAGAGATGAGGTCAGATGAGGAGAAGGGAGAGGGCCGAGAGGGAAGAACGCAGAGAGCGCGCAGGGCACGGCGTCTGGGCCGCCGCGCCGCCTCCACGAGATCCCGGAGCTTCAGGACCTGACCAAAGCGCGAAGATCGGCGAAGCGTGCCGCGACGATGCTCCGCTCTCCGAGGTGCGGCGCCCCGGCGCTCCGCGCCCTCCGCGAGGGCGTCCCCGGCGCCGCCAGCTGCGAGCAGTCGAAGGCCTCCCGGATCTGAGCGGAAACTTTTTGGGGAACGGGACGCCAACCCTTTGCCTTCACCACGCCCCGGAGCCTCGAATGGCCAACTGCTCAACTCGTTTTGGAGCTCCCAGGCTCGGCGAGGCTCGGCGCCGCGCAGCTCGGACTTGGTGAGCCGCCCGGAATTCTGAAAGTCGAAGTGCCGGAACCAAGTCTCTGGACCTCACGTCCCGCTTCAAAAGGAGTTCCGGACTTACAGGACGTGAAGCTCCGGGCAGTCCAGGCGTGGTGGCTGGCCCAGCTGGCCTCTGCCGGCAGCCGCGAAAGCGGCCGCGAATTCGCGATGCATCGCTCAAACTCCGCGGTGCCTTGGACCTTGAGCTCCAGAAGATGCCCGCTGAGCCAGGCGAGCATGCCGCCGGGCCTCGACAGAGCTGCCCCTCTCCGTCTCTTCCCTCCATCGTCCTTCTCTCTCTCGCTTTGCTTGCTCTTAAATCTCTCTTCGCGCCATCTTCTCACATGCCTTAGGAAGTCCGCTTCCCGCAATCCTTCCGGCCGAGGCTGGAGATCCGCGTCGCACCAGGCCTCAACAAGACGAGGCGAGAAAGCTCAAAAGAATCCATTTCATTCCATTTCCACAGTTCTCTCTCAGACGCTTTTCTTCGCCCAGGCCGAAGGCTGGCCAGAGGCTTTGAAAGGTCGCTGCGAAGTTCGAGACGTTCACCTCACGGCGAGCTTACTGCCTTCTTTTTGGTGCTGCTCTCTGCACTTTCCCTGCCCCCTGCCGGCAGCAATGCACCGAGCGTGCTGAGGGCAAATTTCTCCTGAGGCTTGTGCCGCACTGGTGCACTGCAGCGTTCTGTGGCAGTGTCACGCTGTACCTTAAGAAATCGCTCACCTTCAAGGTCAAGGACTCAGGATTCGCATCGGCGTCCTGGTGGAGCAGCGTGATTGCAGTGCCATGTGCATATTCCTGCATTTTTTACAGGCACATACAGGCTTGCCGTCCTCTGGAACGCAGGCGAGGCGGAAGAAGGCTTTGGGATCCACCGTGGGATCCGTCAGTCGCACCTTATAGCACACAGCCAGAGAGCTCGGTGAAGCAGAGCGTGGGGCTGCTGCGCCTTGTACTGCGGTGCAACTGTGCGACTGCTGTGCGACTGCTGCGTGCTGCGGAGCGGTTGCTTTAAACCTGAGAGCCGGGCCGCCGCCTCGAAAGGAGCTCGGCAAAGAGGACCTCGCCAAACAGCTACGGCTTCGGGCGCGCACGCGTCCCGCACGCGTCGCCGGTCGCGTTTCGCCGGGGTCGCCGGGGTCGCCGGGGCCCCGGGCAGACGGGGCCCGGCGGCCGCGGGATGCGGGGCTCGCGCCGGGCCCGCCACGCACGGAAGCGCTCGCCGGCCTCAGAGTTCAACGCTTAGCCTCACATGTTCTTTTTGGAAACCTTATGGCTTTAAGGCTTCTTCAAGGATTGGGGTAAGGTTTGCAGGGCCTTTCTTCGGTGGGATGCCCGGGCGCCGGAAGATGCATTCTCAGAAGTCAATCTCCTTCTAGATCTAGATCAACGCTGCAACTTATAAACCAACAAAACCAACGTAATATCAAACATAGCAAAGAAAAACATGGGCAGGGCGGTGGCGACGGGAAGTCGACAAGGGCTTACTCATAATCAGCTGCTACTCTCTCCTAAATGTTTTCGTGGCTGTTTGCTACGTGAGTGACCTGTTGCGAATCCGTGTTTGCATACAGAGGCATTAGGATTGAGGCCTTCGCTATTTGGGAGTTCACTTACTATGTATATATATATATATTCTCAAACTATAACATGTATTCGCACTTGGTTGCAAAGTGCTACAGTATGCGGTGCAGTTGTCACTTGCTCACAGTCTCGGAGGGATTGAAAAATAGAGGCTAGGAGCATCTGTATCTGTATCAGGCGTCAGGGCATTTTGTATCTATGGGAGGTGGATGAGTGAGAGAGGGAGAGGACAAACTCAGAACGGATGGGAAATCTCGCAATCGCCTCGATTTGTGAGTTTAATCTGAGATGAGACATGCATCCAACGTCCGGCCCTTGACTTTCAAACTTTGAAACTCTGACATTACTTTGAGTTGCATCGGTCTTCGGATTTTATTCGCAGATTCACGCATGTTTCAGCTTCCAGTTCACTCGCTCACACAGTTCGCACGACTCGCGCTGGACAGTGTTTCGCATCCATGCAAGCGACAAGTGACAAGTGGTAGCAGTGCTGCAAGCCACGCAAGCACGTACATCGCATCGCACGGGCCGCCATGCTTTGCATTGCACACAGATTTGACACAAAGGTCGGATGGGTGCACTGCTGCATTCATGAACAGAAGGACAAAAACAATATTCCATAGAGTGGTCTACACTTCGGGCTTGTTAGGGCTTATGGTTTGCAAAGGTAACACGGACGACAAAAAGAGTTGGGACTCGAAGGCTTTGGGAGGTAGCACAAAATGACATCAAAAGGGTTTGGCTTCAGATGGTAGCAGGCAATGACGGTCAAAACTCGAAAGAAATGTTTTTCTTCGTGGAGTGCCTTTTTCTGTCTTGCAAAATCAAAAGGTCGGACAGCCTCGATGAGGCAGGCTGGTTAAACATACTTTCCTCATGTCACTGCTTCCAAGACCTGATGATCATGACCCTCGCGAGCAGGAAGCCCCTTTTCAGCATTCAAACCCTGTGCTCCATCAGCTGCACAAGTTCGAGGATCAAAAGCTCCAAGAACTTCTTCGGCATCAACCACAAGTGCCGCTCGTCCATCGGTTTTTGCAATCCGCTCATCAGAGATCACCCCCGAGCACCACTAAGCATGGAGGTCTTGAAAGGCCTGAAAATCCATGCGCAACGTGACATCGAAATCCAAATCAGGCACAGGGGGTTGCTTCTGCCCCAAAGTACTATGAACCATCACCGTCGAAGCCTCGCTGGCACTCCTTGGCTGCGAGGCCTCCTTCTTGAAACGGCACCTTCCACGTCCCTGCAGCTGGCCCCACACTCACTTCCACGAAGGTTCGCTTCCGGGAATCTCGAGCCAAGTTCATTGCGGACAGAAAGCCAAGTACTGCAGCACAATTGGTGCGTGCAGTTGACTCGTTTGAGAGATGCATTCAAGTCGCTGCATTCTTCGAGGGCAAGCAAAGCCATACGGTTCATGCCATCAAACGCAAACTGAGATCCGGCTGGAGCCCCACTTATGATCCTTGTGTTTCTTTGTGGTGCAGGCTTTTGAAAGAAGAGTTGGTTCGATACCAGCTTCCTTCTTTCATCAAGAACGAAGATTTCGTTGACAGAGCGGCGCGGAGATGGTTGACGCAGAACTCCGATCTTGTTTGCGTAGTGGACGCAGACAAAAACCTAGGTGATGCAACATTGCCGAAAGCATGGGTCAAGTGCGAAATGTCACGACTTCTAGATTCTAGCTGAAGCTGCAGTTCCCATCATGCCTGAAGAGTTTCGCAACATGTCTTCACACATCAAGCTTGCCTTGGACAGCTTTCTTCATCGTGCACATGTTGATGGTTTGACTATGTGCTCAAGTTTGTTCTCAAAGATTTCAATTCGAATAAGGCCGGTTCGTTCAGATTACGTGTCAAGCTCAACAAGACTCCAATTGTAGGGAGACCGATTATGAATCTGAGCCGTACTTGGATTGCACCTGCAGCCACATGTTTGCCAGAGATGTTGAATCAAGCCCAAAAGAGGCTTCCACACGTCATTGAGTGCAGCACGGACCTTCTGAAACTGCTTGGGGATATGTTTCGTGTTGTTCACGTTTGATGTTCGCAACCTTTCCCCGTCGATTGACCGGAGTCATTTCATGACAGTCATTGACAGACAAATCAAACGACTGTGGAATCATGATTCTCGGCTAGGTGTTTTTCTGATCAGGCTCACAGAACTCGTGTTGGATTTCCAGTTCCTACAACATGACGATCAAATGCTCCAGGTCACACAAGGCCTACCGACCGGACTACCGACATCTGTCATCTTTGCGAACATGTACCTTTCAGAACTCGATGAGTTTGCTGTCGATGAATGTAGGATGTAGAGCAGTTAGCGTTTGGGCCAGATTCGTCGATGATTCGTTTGGGCTTGCGCCTGACAAGGACATCGACGAAATACACACCAAACTACATGACTGGCACCCGTACATCAACTGGACCATCGTCCTCCTTCGGGTGGTAACAGGTTCAGCGTTTCAAGAATGGGACAAGTCAGGTGCTGGTGAACACGTGAGCTTGTTGAATTTGGACATTTCGTTGGCGTCAGGTTCCATGCGATTCGAAACATACAGGAAGCCACTCAACTCCTATCTCTACATTCCTCGATTTTCTTGCCACCCGGAAGGTGTATTCGATGCAGTGGTGGTTGGCGAGACTCAACGGCTTTACAGAACATGCCATCAAAACAAAGCTGCGCTGCATAAGCATCTTCAGACTTTCGTTCAAAACCTTCGCAGAAGAGGACACAACAAAAAGCAGGTTGAAGACATCATTGCATCGACTTGCCGAAAGCGTGAGAATGCACGTGGTGTTCAAAGCTGTAAAAGCAGAAAGTTGTTTTTGAACTCAATCAGAATTGGTGCCG